CAAGGAAGCTGTCTTTTCCCATGAACTGACCATCACAGGCTATTACAGGCTTGGAAAAGGACACACAGGCTGAGCTGCCTGACAAGGATCCCAGGGTCACTGGTCTTCCAGACCGACTCTGCAGGACCTGAGCAGGGTTAGAACAGAGTGATGCTTGTAGAGGATGATGTCACGAAGCGGGCTGAGGCCACAGAAAGCGGGGGTGGCAGCAAAACAGATGACAAAGAACGAGGAGGTCGAGACATCAGTAGGTGGGGGGTGACCTCCCGAGGGACCCTGTCCAGTAGAGGTCCTTGCCCCCCCCACTCTTCTGCCCATACAAACCGGGCCAGGCACCAGGGAAGCCACTGGCCTTGGGACAGTCATCAGGGTGCTTCTGCTGCTGAGCCTCTCCTGCACACAGGGGCCTCCCAGCCTCGTGCCGGGCTCCTCCCGGCTGTCACCACGCCAGGTGTCCCCAGTCTCACAGCTGCGGAGAGCACGCCATCCACCGGGGCCCCAGGAGCTCAGCGCTCAGCCAGAGCCACGCTCCGACTGGCAGGTTTGTCACGGGGCTGGGTTTGCTTTCTGCCACACGGATGTGTGCAGAGTCACTGTCTGGGGTTGATACTTGGCTTTCATGCCCCAAGGATGTCACCTTTTACACCGACACTTCCATGGAGACCCATGTAAGAAGCGGACAGTCTCTGTTTATCTGTGGAAGCCCTGGGCTCCCTCCAGAAGGTCCTTTCCTGACAGCCTCCAGGGATGACACATTTCCAAATCCTCACCAGTGTTTGGTGTGTTTCCGAAATGACCCGGACTGGTCAACTCGGGTGCCCCGCTGCCGAGGCTGCTCTGCGAAGCAGGCACACGAGGGCACTGACATGCTGGGGACGGGCGGCAGGAAAGGAAGTGGTGGGGAAGGGTGCCACAGAGTGGGGTGCTGGGTGGCAGTATTACCCTGAAGTCCGCACCTGCCCTGCACACCTCTGGCCTCCAAGTGCCAGGGGGCACATGGTGGGCACTAATCTGGGAAGGTACCTGGCTAAGGATGCAAATGCCAGCTAGAGCAGCCCCAGCAGGGGTGTCGAGCCCCTAGACCCAGCTCTCCAACACAGGCCAACCTCTGGGCATGGCCAGCAGCCACGGGCACACTCATGCGGCAGAGAGAGGGCAAGCGTGGTGATGGACCCCGACTCCATTTCCTGCATCTGGCCCTGGAGGGATTTCAGTTTTGAGACAACCGTGAATGTTTCTTGAAGGGCCACAGGGAAGAGGGGGCAAATCACATCTCAGAGCCCGCCCTGGGCTGGCTTTTGTTCACATAAACTTGGCTTAGTTCTCCACTCCCCCTCCAGCCTTGCCTTTGTACCAGACGCTCCTCCTGGCCCCCACAGTGAGCCTGATTCCCAAGGGCAGCGAAAGCTAAGCAGGTTAGGAATGTGCTGGCACCCTTTGGAGAAGCTGGCACAGCTACCTAGCACCGGTGAGCGCTTAGATCTTTGTAGCGAACTCTGCCTAAGATATCAGACCGTTCATCCTGGTCCTTTTCCTCGGCTCCATGGAAAGAAAACCGGCTGCCAGGTACAGCGTGTGAGATCACAGCAGATCCCTACTCGGGGGGCTGCCAAGGAACATGGACCCTGGACCCTGGTACCTTTGAGAGAAAAGGTGGTTGGGAGCAGCGCTCTTGCCAAGCAGGTAGCATTCTGCTGCAGTACCAGGGAGGGAGTGGTTCTGCTCTACTTACAGGTTAAGGTCTACGTGTAACGACGCGATCGAACTCTAGAGAGGCTGGGCGCCGGCCCCAAACCCTGAGAATCAAGCAGCTTCCAGGGGTCAGATAAGGTAGTGTCACCAGGGTGAGCTAGAAGAGGTCCAGCCCACAGGCTCTGACATCCAGGGCCATGCATTCTGACAGCTCTCCCTGACGTTTAATCACTTAGCTCGCGTGTGATCCGCGAGTTACAGTCCTCTCAGTGACTGGCATGGTCTATCTTGGAGGTCGCCCGGGAAGCGGGGGTTGCCATGAGGTGAGGGTTTACCTAAGACCATCTGGGTCCACCAGCTTTTGAAACTTTCCAGACTGAAATAAATGGTACAGACTGCTTTAAGACTTGAGCTAGCAGCACAACTGCATATCCCCCAATTTCTTTTTGCAGAAAGTCTGAATTCTTCCAAGAGGCATCTCCTTTACTTCCCCTTCCTAGAGGAGTGCCTGAGTAAGTCAGCTGTTCTGGACTTGCAGCTTCCAACACCTCAGAACAGATGAGAACATTCCAGACATCTGACAAGCAATACACCTGGAATCTGCCACCCTCCACACCTTCGCTCATAGCAAGGTTGTGGGAATCCAGTCAGTGAAGGACTTCACTGACCTTCAAGCCATCTCTCCAGATCCTAGGAACTCAAATGCATCCCTGGGCTAAGCCGCTCCCTAGGAGATACGTGTGTATCCTTGGGACTGTGTATAACCCTCTTCTGTACTTCAGTGATACTCACGGATAACTAGCGACAAGAGGAAAGATGGAATTTGCCAGCACTGAAGGACATCACAAGGAAAAGTCAGTGCACAGGTGTATTTTTGAAAAATGGACTGTGATTTTATAATCAAGAGCTTGCTGTGGAAGTAAGCAGCATTTGCCATCCTGCAGGAATTTTCTGGTATGTGGTGTTGTTCCATCTTTGACCCTGGGCAAGAAACAAGCAACCCTTTGGCTGATCTAGGCTCGGTAGGTTACTATGTGGTGATGAGAAATGTTTTGTCAGTCAGATCTCACTTTTTACTGGTCAGGGAGTCCTTGCAAGAGTATGTGGATGACACTTCTCTTTCTAAGGTACACAGAAGGCACTGGATAATTAGACCTTTGCCCTGACAGGGTCTTAGGGAAAACAAAGCCCCCAACAGGGCATCCTCCCCTGCTACGGGGCAGCTCTGGGCAGAGAAGCAGTAGAGACCTAGCGCTGCCTTGATCCTGATGGACGGAAGCCAGGAACGGAAGAGGGATGCAGGCCTGGAAAGACCCTGGCAAAGGGGCAGCTCCGTCCTGGGGCCCTCAGGGGCACATATTCCATTGCTGGCTTGGAGGGCCCCTGATGAACCAGCTCTACTCCCAAAGTAAACTGGCAGCACAGTAAAGAATGCCTGTTTCTATACAGACATACATCTCCCTCCAAGCGCAGAAAGAACCTTTGTACCTGCATAGGAATACGTCTATGTATCTTGGACAGGGACATACTCCTATATACTTGTATGCTCTTTACGCATAGTGGGATTATACCCCTATAAACCCACCGGTAAGTGGAAAATGCAGGTGGAAACCCCACTGAACACCCGAACGCACTGACCATCCTTTGCCCATACGTATGAGTCACCTGGTCTACTGCAGTCATCTGCAGGACCCTGACGTTAGCTTACACTTGGGCAAGACCATCTAACGCAAAAAGCCTGCTGCGTGTGAAGTGTTGGAGAGCTTGTGTGACTCACTGGCTACTGTGCTGAACGTGAAAAGCAGGGCGGCGCTACAGGCAGCGAACGTCAAGTGGGAAATCCTAGGGCGAAGGAACAAATCAGGGACTGTGTACGCCTCAGACATCCACTTCCTGGTGAAGCTCGGGAGGCATCGCCGTGGGCAGCGGACGCAGGCCAGGGGTGCCCATGACACACCTATGGGTCTGGAAGGCGGAGCTGTTGCTGTGTGACACGGTGGGAAAGGGCAATTCACCCAGCAAGCAAATTACGCCGGGACCACTTGTCACCTGGCGTGCTGGAAAGGACTCTTTATTTCAGATAAAAGCTAAACGTTATTTAGAACACAGGGAAAAGGCCTTTTGTGCACTGTCAGGAGATAAACTGATACAATTCCCCCAGGAATTTGGTAACATATATCCAAAGCCATAACAGCACACACACTCTTCAGGTCAGGAATCAGATTACTGGGGATTTATCCGAGGAAAATGGACAAGGACGCATAACACAGAGGGAGAGAGACAGACAGACAGACAGAGACAGAGAAACTGAGAGACAGACAGACAGAGAGAGAGAGAGAGAGAGAGAGAGAGAGAGAGGGAGAGGAGGACACGGATGTAAAGTTCTTTATAACAGTGAAAAACCTTAAAGTAAATGTGTTTGCTAAGTGTCAGTTTTAGAGACAGTGCTGTCCCCGAGCGCCTGCCCGCAGAGTGGAGCACTCAAACGGGGTGCACACGTGTGTCTGCTAACCTGGAAAGGTGCGTGTGGTCTAGCGACAGCGAGGAACGCAGGCTGCAGCCCGCATCCAAGCTTGTGGGACACAGAGGCCCTGACACACAGCTGGCTGAGTGCGATCTCCGAAGCTAAGCCGCCACGCTCGCCAGGGGGGGTTTCACCTGGAGGGTGACACTGACTGTCACTCCATACTGCGAACTGTATCTTATCCGACATTTTTAAACTTTCTCTTGTATCTTTGCTCTCTTACAGGGAAAACTGCACTTAGTTTTGGACCGTTCACTTGGTTTTTGCCCGACTTTCACATACAACATACTGCAGTATTCAGCAAGTGTCCTCGGTGTCTGTGGCCCGGACTTAACCCCGTGATTCGGTATCACATCTGAGTTCTCAACTGCATGGAACTTCTTATTTCTGTTCTGACCTGCTCAGAACTGAACCCTGAGTTCACATATAATTGTCTCTTTCATTCTAGATTTTCAGATAGGTGCATTCTTTTCTCCTTTCTCTTTTACTACTTGCTCCTGTCTTTCAACTCTCATTTAAATTTAACTTCATCTGCGCGTTTTATTGTAATTCTCTGTGGATCTACAGAGCTGAAGATCAACTGTGAGGGAGGGGACAGGGGAGAGAAAGACATATGGTCTAGTGGAGTGTGAGGGACAGTATTATTTATTTCATGACTGAGCAGGAGACCAAACACTACTTTCACTTCAAACACAGGCTCGAGGCTCTACTGCTGCTAGCCTCCGCCGCCCCCAGTGTTCCGCGGAGGGCTGGACCCGGTGACTGTCGCAGCGGCTGTACTCACATGCAAACTTGGATGATAGGTCAGCACGCCATTGTCACACAGGGTGACATATTTCTTCTTCCACTCTTTGTTCAGTGACTTTCCACTTCGCTTCAACAGCATGCCCTACGAGGAGAAAGGATCCAGATGTAAAGTCTCACGTAAATAGGGAAACAGCAGCAGGTACAAATGTCACTGAAACATGTTTAAACTTTCTCTGCATCTTTGCCCTCTTAAAAGCGAAACTGCACTTATGTTTGGGCTGCTAATGTTGTTTTTACCTGACTTTCACATACCACATACATGCAGTATTCGGCAAGTGTCCTCAGGTGTCTGCGTACCCCGGACTTAACCCTGAGATTCTAGTGAACGCCGCGAATACGCCATTAACACCCCAAATCTAGCACCAAATATCTGGATGTGCTACTTGGTACCTCTCATATGACGAAGTCATTAGCAGATAGGAAACACCTAAAGGAATGATGAAGATTCCTAAACTTCCCTTTCTAAGAACAACTCATTAACTGTATTCTGACCCAATATAACAATTAATTCATTTTACGGTTTCCTTCATTTCAGATTTTTAATTAAAGAAAACTGAAATCCCACATGAAGACTGTAGCAACAATACTTAACAAATGACTTCTGTGTACTAGGATCTGTTCTTGATGAAATTAAAGTAGCTCTCCTGGCAAAGCATTCACAATCTGACATTAGTACGCTTTTGGGGGGCCACATTCAGCCCGCTGTTCCCTGAGCAGCTGATGCAAACATATTCCTGCTTTTAACCAGCGATTCCCAGCCAGCTCCAACTTCGTTCACTGGTTTCCCCTCAGGAAGGAAACTGCCTGCCAGTTCCAAGCGGGATCAGGCCCCAGCCAGGACCTCGAGCCCTCTCTCCCAGCCTGAGCGTCCCCGCCGCCTCACCTGCTCAGCTCCACTCTAGCATTCACAGCATGCTCCTCGGCTCGCCTTCTAACTACCATCTTTTAATTCCTGTCCACACACAGCAAGGAAAATGGGAGAATCTACCCGTTCTTCTCCCCGCCATCTGCTTATATAAGCTCATACGAAAACAGTAATGACCAAGAATGCTTATGATTAATGCTAGTTAACTCACTCAGACCTGAGAGCTTCAAAGGAAAGTTACAAATTTTACCATATACTAAGGCGACCTAAGAAAACAGAGGCCCACATCTCCTTTGGAATTCTTAGCCGTTTCCACTGACCTCTGAATCTACTTTCCCTGAAGAATGACAGTATGAGACAAAATTAGGGAAGGATTCTCACATGGTATAACTGAGTTCAAGCTCCAGTTACATTGCACAATACTACTTTTTATTTACTCAGATCCTAACCAACTTTCAGAAACATAATGGATTAGGAGCCAGCTCTAGAGAGCATCGCTGCTGCGGGAATATATTTGAAGATTTGAAAGGACTCACACATGAATCTCTGGAACAGCATTTCTTTCCAAGTTCTTTGTATGTAAGGAAAATAAGTGGCAAAACGTGCAGCATCTTGATTTCCTGAAATCGAGATCACTATAAACCACACAGGGCACTGAGACCAACCCGAGGAACCAGGCCTAGAGGAACATGTGACTAAAGGGGCAAACCGAGGCAAAAAGGGCTGCATTGCATGGTCCCAATTAGTGGGAGAAGTGGTCACCACTAGAGACGCAGTAATAAATAAGCAATTGCTTCAAATCATTCAATATCCCTCCCCAGTGGGATTCCTACGATTTTGAAACTTAGCATAACAAAACCTCTCCCAAGTTCTCTCGTGGGCTCACATTTTTCTATACCCATTTCAGATGGAATTCCAACAATACCAGGGTGAGGGGGTCACTGCCACGTCCCTAGAAGATCAGAGCTGCTCCAGGCTTCACAAGGCTTTGTTCCTCCCCCTCACACAAGCGCCAGCGCAGCGCACACCCCTAGGGCTCTGCAGATGGACTGGCTTGGGGGCGCTTTCACGAGCACATCCCACACTCGTAATTGCCCTTCCACCAAGGAAGGCTACAAGGACTTATTTATTAGGGAAAACAGTGAGTGTGTGTGTGGGGGGGGCAAGGGTCCAATTAGGACACATGTGAGGAGGTAAGCCCATCATTTTCTGGGGAATGAAGTTAGGTTGATTTACTCTGATGCTAAGAAAACAATGTCTTGCTATAGGAAAATCCAAATTTTGACCATTTTAATAATTGCTATGGTTCACTGGGAGAATGCAGCTGGAGTATGAAGGCAGTGGGTCTGCGAAACCCGCGTCCTGGAGCCGTATTCTCAGCCCCAGGCTTCCACAGGCCCCTCATGGGTTTATGACGTGACCCTGGCCCCAAGGATTCCAGGCGGCCGAGAGCCACCCACTGCCCTGCCCACCACGGACAGCTTGGGCTGCACGGGACAGGACAGGGGTCCCAACTACTGTCCTGCCATCCTGCCTCAGCCTTACCGGGCACAGTCACATTTGTTCTCCTTCCGGCGGTGACAGTCACAGGCAGCAAAGCTGCGGAATCTGTGGCTCCCGCCCTGCGGCGAAGACTAAGCACAGGGGCAAGGGACTGTTACTAACAGGAAGTGGCCAGTCAGCCATGACCCGCTCTTTGCAGCTGTGACCTGCACTTGCTGTGTCCCTGGGCGGAACCTCCAAGGGTGGCAGCCATCACCCGGCTCAGTACCCGAGGTCTGGAGCCACTGGTTGCCCTCCCAAAGCACAGACACAAAAGCTCAGGACCTCGCCACAAGCACCTCTGTGACCCAAGTCCCCCCTGCAAGGGAAGCAAGGCTCCAAGTCTACAGGGAGAATGGCTGCTCCTCTCAGTTCACAGAGAGCTTCTCCAACTCCCCTGGGAATGTGGCTAGACAGGACCCTTTCCAGTGGGCCTGGGGAGCCCGTTTTTCACTCCCACATTTCCACTGAAATAGCATACAAGCTTGGAGAGAATGAACGACGCTACTCAAAGATGACACCAAGACGTCCTTCAAACACAACGCATACGTCTCCGGAGGACAGGACTCCTGTTTCTAAACCCCAGAGTGGCCTGGAAACGCTCCAAACTGTCTCAGAGGCGGGCGGGGATGTGATGGGGGGCAACGGGTGCCGGGCTCGGTTTTAGGAGCGAGTCCCAGGAACAGGCGGCCAGGGGAAGCACAGAGTGGCTGGGCGGAGGAGGCCTCCAGGGTCGCTCTCTATCCTGCGTGAGGCTGTGGCCCAGACACTGCTGCCAGAAAAAACTGGATCTGTAGTTGCCAGCTTTGACGTTAAACCCAAAATATAAATGAAGAGTAAAATATAAAATAACAGGAAACAGGGAGAGACACCTTTTTGCAAAAGGAAAGGGACCAAGAGCTGGAGGTGGGGGAGAAAAGAGTTAAGATATGTGATATCCACGACCAACTCACCACGAGGAATGGAATCGTTATGCATGGCAAACGTGGACTAAAACAAAGCAAAAACTGAAGAAAAGGAAATGGTAGTAACAGAGCAGCGGACAGAGGCCACTCCAGATACGTCTGCAGGCTGCTCGGGAAGGCCTGGTGTCTCTGGCCAAGATCCTTGGGGGTTGGTTGCGGTCCCCCTGACCCTCGGCCAGCTGACATTCCGGCGGCAACAGAACCTGAGCTCTCCACCAGATATGCCACCTAGCTCAGCCAGCAGCCTGCGCAGAGCCAGCCTCCCCGGCACCAGCCACAGTGCTTCCTCTCCGTCTCACACCACCTGCGTCCCCCACGCACACTTCCTGACGGGAAGGCATCTCAAAGGCTCCACGTTCCACAGGTGCGGTGCTGATGAGCGACGGAAAGATGGTTGAGCTTATCCAACGTGTGCTGAGGACTCTTCCTGTGCGGGGCTGATCCCTCAGCTGCACCAGCCTGAACGCTCATCCTTCTCTGCTCCCTGCACCATGACAGTGGCAAACCCTGTGGGCTGCTCCTTTTAAACTTCTCACGGACATGAAGCCACGCTAGAAGATGACAGAGGCTGGAAGGCTTCTCCTGTCTAGCGACGATCAGGCGGTGGCTCCATCAGGGGTACGAATGCTCATCGTGATGCCAAGTCTCCTTGAGTCCCCATGACCCGGGGCAAAGCTGCACGGTGGCACGTCAACACACATCTGCCGTCCATCTTTCAGATGCCACTCTGGGACATGTGAGGACTGTCTCTGCTCAGGACGACTTCCTGTTGACCGCTATGACACAAGCCCAGAAGGCGTCCGGTGCCCTCTAACAGTCAACGGAGAGCTCATGACCACCTGATGAAGGTGAGTGTGATTATCCTCGTGTCACAGGAGAATGCCAAGGTCAGAGGTTGTATAACTGGTCCACCTTGCACAACCCGTGTGGTCGTGTCCGTGTCCTCGAAGCCAGCTCTCAGGAAGCAGCTCTTCATGCACTCACGCTCGTGTGTACAAACATCATTCCTGCTCACTCCGGCCTATCCTAAGCTCTCCTAACTCACAGCCCCGGTGGAAGGGAGGGCTGCTATCTACATTGGCTTCTGCTGTGGAGCTAGCAGCTTGTCCTTGCAGCATGCTCAGGCTCTGTCCCTGGTTTTCAACCCTGGAGTTAAGAGAAACTGACATTATGATTGTTTTCTCAAATCATTTGGTTTGGGGTGGATTCGTGGGCAGCTATCGGTAAGGAAAACAGAACCAGCATCCTGTCGATTACAAGGAAAACAAGAAACATGGAAGGCTTGGGACCTGGCAGCTGGTGGGGGTTGGCAGGACCCAAGGATGTCAGTGAGGGCTGGGGCTGGAGATGGAGCTGAGCTACGCTGGTGCACCCTCAGCGAACCCGCTGCCTGGGGATGACCGTGCAGCAGGGGTGCCACGTGTCGCCCAGGCTGTAGGGTTTCCACACTGCATGCTAAGGTGGCCCTGGATCTGTGAAGCCTGGGAGAGGAGCGGGCAGCACAAGGGAATTTCCAAGCAGAACTAGCGGCTTGCCTGGGAACCAAGGTCAGATCCAGGGCTCATGGTAGACCGGACCTGGGAATGGGGTCCCTTCCAGGGCGGCAGTCAGACCCTTCCAACTAGAGAAGATCTTTGCTTGCAGACAGAGATCTGTGGGCTGGCTGCTGTTTAATGGCACGGACTGTCCTTCGATGTAAAGTCACTCACA